AGTATAAATTTATATTTGTGTGTGTGCATCGTCGCTAATAGACAAAATAACATTGACATTCAAGGTAAATAAATCTCAAATAAATGCCATTTTTTTCTATTTTTATAAATTCAACAAATCAATTTAATTTCGTTGGTGTCATTAATTAAGATTAAACATTTTATTTCTGTTAAAGGTGTGATATCAGATTTTAAGTTACTAAAAAGATATTCAGTGTTGAATTTTTCTGTGTAGTGCGATTTGTTCACTACGGAGAATCAAACCCCGGATTTCAGCGTTGTAAGTCCGTGACGTTAAGTAATTCATTTTCTTCCATATTTTCAAAGAAAAGTGCTAAATTTTTATGATAAGATTTTGAGCTACCCAGTCACTGGTACATATTTTCTGCACTCGGGTTTTATTTCAAGTAAATATTAGTAAATTTCATTTTCAACTTTCCTTTGCATCAATTGAGAATTCCTCATATGCTCATTGATCACTAAGCCTACAGTGTCCCTGAGATAAGATTCTAACCAGTCAACAGTTCCATTAACTTTATTGGTATTCATTTGGTAGGTTTTTGGTTTTTCCTTATTTCAGTTCTTACAGGCTGTGCCGCTAGATCAGTTGGGGCTATCTTCACATAACCTTGAGCCTGAAGGAAGGTAGAGCCAAAATAAATGAGAATATCCTTCACATTGGTGGGCACAGTTGATCACGCGCGCGTGATCTCGATAAATCAAATTATGAGGTAGGCGTGGTAAGAAGGACCATTACATTTCGAAGACATTTGTAACTGTTCCCGAGAACACGAAATAGAGCGTGCGGTGTACTGTTTGTATCTGCGGATGACAAATCACTACCACGAGATCTGACCCCATTTCTGGAAACGTTAGTGATAAGTTTCATTCGCAAACAATGGATGAAGTTACTATTGAACGTTACGTACATTTATGATCATTGGAATTGACCACAAATAGTTTCATAAGAGGTCATTTTTACAAAGAAATTAAGACTTCCAATCAATTAAGAGAAAATACCCCATTTACGATTCGAATTCTTTACATACAGGTGTTACAGGTGTCACTGGGGGAGGGGGGGGGTAAAATAGTTTGTTTGTTTGTAATTAAGCACAAAGCTACACAATGTGCTATAAGTGCTCTGCCCACCACGGATATCGAAACTCGGATTCTAGCGTTGTAACTCAGCAGACATCCCGCTGTGCCACTGGGGGGCACGAGTAGTCTGTGCTCAAATAATATTTTCAGTCGTAATATATTATACGTTATATTTCACTATAAACGCCTTGAGTTTGTATTCATGTATTATTAACCAACTTTTTATAACGTCATGTTGGATTTTGTTGTTGTTGTTGTTTTGGAACTTATATCTTAGCCTCTCCTGTATATAAAAACCCACCTTTTTTTTTCTTTTTTTTTACTTTTCTACATGCTCACTAGTGGCACAGCGGTATGTATGCGGACTTACAACGCTAGAATCCGGTTTCGATACCCATGGAGGGCAGAGCACGGATGGCCCATTGTGTAGCTTTGTGCTTAATTACAAAAATAAATAAATAAATTTTCTACATTAATTATTGTGTATATGTTGTTCCAATTTTTGCAAAATATTTTTAGTATTCTGTTCATTTTAGGTTCGTTTCAAAACGTCTATAATAACACTAAGAAGTCGCGGTGTCTGTGTTTTTAGAGCAACTTTTTTTTCTATCACGAACAAAGACTGTTTAATAATTTATGCAACTTATTTTAAAATGACGGTTAAAATATCTTTGAAAAATTTTGGTCACGTAAATTTATCTTGAAAACAATGGCGGCTTCACAGGTTGTGCGATGTTGAATACCGAGTAAAAACAAATGTTAACATAATATAATGACAGTTTTATAACCTTAAGGTTACACTTTCGAAATCCAAACATACTTTATGTTGATATATATATATATTATATCTACGTTAGTTTGTATATATTTTTAAAAATAGATTTGGCAACTTGTAAAAATATGTCAAGTGTTATGTGACTGTTCTTGAGAACTACAGTATTTTGTGTTTATATATAAGCAACAAAATTCCGACTTCGGGGCACGCGTTTCTTATGTCGCTACTCAACGTGGTTAATTAAACCAAAAAACTGGTTTATATAATTAAAATAAACAAACTAATTTGATTAAATTTGTCACATCAAGTACATAAATATTTCGGATTTTTCTTACCTTCACGGTAAACGAACGAAGAAGCACAATAGGTATTTTCACTCTCACCAAAAAAAAAAATATATATATATATAATAAAACACTTGAAGTAATTAGCATTACTTAACAACTTTGAATTCGATGACGAGGAACCCACTTTGAGACTAATAATGGCTGG